AAATATATCTTATAGATTACTGTTGTAGCAGTGTAGCAGTGCATAAATAATCACATTAGGAAGCACTTTTATTAGTAGTAATAGTAATAATAATAAGAAGACGAAGAATCAATTCCATTCTCTGTTTCAGCACAAGTAAAATCAGGTGCATTTATATCTAATGACTAATCATTTTTTTTAAATTTAATTTGTTTTAATTATTAATTTATTTTATATTTCAAGGCGTCTATATAAAACTTTGACTTGATTTCTCTTCCATGCAGCAAAAAAAGCCCATGGTTTTTTTTGGGGGGGTTTTTCTATTTATTTATTTTTTTGTGCCGTTTTATTTTCTAATTTTTGGACAACTACGATATAAAAAACAGTTATTGATTTTAATTATGAGAATATGAAGAAGTTTAAATAATTGTCTTTCTACTTACAGGAAAATCAAGTCCTGAATCAACCAATGAAGCAGTTTACTCCGAAGTCAAATTAAAAAGAGCTCTAGGTAATATGAAAATATAATTATTAAATCTAACTATATCCTCACTTAACATTTTTTGCATAAAACTTTGAAGGCAAAAGTTAGATATGTCATCTTTAGTATTTGAGCTTTAAAGTTACGATTTTGAACATTTTTGCAAAGATATATGTAAAAAATGTGTAATATTTAGGTACCGCTGTGTCCAAGCTACTTGCACTTTCTTTCTTCACTTGTGAGATTATCTTCAGACCGTTGTAAATTTCTTATATTTTACCTCCATCCACCTTTTTCCGTTGATCCATCAGCTGTATGTGATATTTGTGTTGCACAAATGTATGCTGAGATCTCATATCTCTCTTAGAGGACAGTCCAATGTATGCTCAGGTCAACTGCCGGGATAAAGGAAATACTAAGACAAACAAGGGTGAGTAAAGCCTGCAATCATTTACAGTGATGACATGGATAATTTATTATAATGATTTATGATTACATTTGAAAAATTGTTAGATTATTCTGTTATTATATGTTACCTTATATATGTAATCAAAGTAGTTGAATTAGAATACTGCTGTAGATCATATTATACCCTTTAATATAGAGTGTGTGATCTGTATGTAGTTTAGTTCTCGTTATACTTTTGAGTTAACAGAACATATTCACATATTAGTTTATTAGATAAGTGTGCATCACTCTGTATCCTTGATCTGCTGTGAATGTATTACATGCTTAATTGTTGAATCATGAAGAGAAGATTGTAAGCAGGAGACTCTGTGTCTAAGACAGGGGAGATAGACAGACCACATTCCATACCCCCACCTTACAGAAAGCAGAGAGACAACTGCCGAGGTCATAACTTAGGCGCTGTAACAGAGAAAGAATGTGATGTTTTGGCTTTTACGACTAGATGGGGGCCACTAGAGACTATAAAAAGCTGAGCAACCCGTCACCATTTTGAGACTTGCTGTGACCCTCTTCAGGCATGTCTCCCCATCATGATGGTCCTTATGCTCTTAAGTGTTGAATTGTATGGAAATAAATGATTGTTGATTGAGCATAAATACACCGAGTATTGTCCTTCCTTCAGCCCAAAGATTCAAAGAATTGGGAGATTTCAACAACTGTAAATCTGTTTGTTTGTGTGTGTGTGCATTTTTGTTTATATCACTAATAAAAACAGTGATAAAGAAAACTTTGTTAACCTGTGGTTTAAGAAAATTATTGTTGTTTTTTTTGTTGTTGTTGTTGTTGTTATGAGACTACACAAGTCTTTTAAGTAAACTTCTCTCCATTACAGGAAAATCAAGTCTTGTGTCAGCTGATGAAGCAATTTACTCTGAAGTCAAATGAGGGAGCACTCTAGGTATTTATGCTGACATGATGGAGTATGATGTGATGATTTATTCTTGTTCTTTAGCTCATAATATTGTTTCAAATTGGAAATCTTGTTGTCTTTTTTGCTTTACAGATCAGTGAGGAGAGCTGTAACAGCAACCCCAAAATGAAGCTTTTTATGAAGCCACTGTTGCTCCTCTGCTACCCAAGTGTCATACACACCCAACAAGTATAAGAGTTATAGGTCATCATCATTATGAAATACAATATCTGTATTAATAACTGTAGACATATTACTGTATTTTAGCACACAAAAGTACAAACTGGTGTGCTTCTGTTTAGTTTCATGCTCTCTCTATTCACTCAGTGATAATAACAGCATGACTTACAGTCAGCTTTTTCAGTGTTACGTATGGTTTATTAATGTTTGGGCAATAAACACGGTATACTTTTGTATGCAATAATCTTCTACATTATTAAAAGACGACTGATATAATATGATATATATCTGACTGTATTTGTGCAAAATACTAATGAACCTGTTGATGTCAATTATGAAATAATTTGCTTTTTCTCCATGAAAATATGCGTTCATATTATAATATGTGTGTCGTGTGTGTGTGTGTGTGTGTGTGTGTGTGTGTGTGTGTGTGTGTGTCTGAGAGAGAGAGATACATACATATAAACATACAGAATGTGAGATGCTGTGTTTGCTCCAGTTCAGTGTGGTGGCAAAGCCCAAAAATAATATCTGCCCGGGGCTTTTCACAGAGTCATGAAAGACCTTATCTTCATCTCTTTGACTACAGAACTAAAATGACAAAGAACAATCTAAGCTGAATGTGTGCAAGCTTATGGAAAACATATTTTAGCTCTGACAGCTGGTAGACAGAGAGCATAGACACAGAACAACTGTCTGTGACTCACCGGCTGAAGAAGTGGAAGAGTGAGAAACTGAAATGTCCAATCTATGTTCTTTTTGGAGTCCGGAGAATTGCTGGGAGCAGAAAGGCAGAAACAGAGTTGTCCCCAGGAGGGACAAACCAGGATTCAGGGACAGGAACAGAAAAACAGCACAACATGACACTCAGTCTGGGCCTGTATAGGACCTCATATGGGTATTCTGTAATTAGTGTTGCCAACTGTCCCATTTCAGCTGGCAGATCCCATATAATGAGCAAAATTGGTTTGTCCCTTATTCTACCAAATATCATGAAAATTGATGGTTACCCGCAATGTCACACACAGTGCATTTTTACACTATGCCCAGCTTGTTGTGCACTGTGCTTCTGGCACGCCACAGTGTCCCTTATTTGATATTTAAAAGTTGGCAACCCTATCTGTAATTGACATATCATTTACATATCCACGTAGGCTGCCCTACATCAAATGACCAGCATATCTCTGTACTTCCAAATGAGCTGTTAAAGGGGTCTTTGTGTGATCTGTCCTTGGTGAAGCAAATGGACGAAAAGATTTGACACATTGACAGAGCTTCTCTCCACCACTGCAGCACCAATGTAGAAAGATGTCCTGGTCCACCACTTCTCCTCTGCTCAGGCTTAGCCTTTCACCAGCCCCTCACTCTTCATCCTCCATGCTCACCATTTCTTCTTCTCTGCCAGTACTTGCATCTCGCACGATGAAGAAGCTCTTGATGGTGAAGTAGTAGTTACCAGCCCAAGACCTGCAGCATGTCTGGGGAGCTCATCTTTGCCCATTTTTCTGGAAATTCCTGACTCAATGTTGGCCAGCTCTTCTGGCTTGATGATACCAAGCAGTTCATTGGTGGTTCTGCACCTAGTTAGTCTGAGTCATCTGCAACCATAACTCTTCGAGCTCCCTCTTCCAGGTAGAAGCTCCCACCTATGTTGCACAGGATAATTGCTAATCTGTGAGCCCTGTGCAGCTCAGGCTTTAGAAACCCAGGCTACCAGAGCCTCCTGAGCAGCTCCAGCTTCCCGAGTCATCTCTGAAGCCTTCAGTGCTGCTCTAGTCACCAGTCATCCCATACAAACAGAATCAGAGCCCATGGACCCTGAGCAACCGGGACCAGACGCCATGGATTTTTTGCCACCGAGTTCCAAGGGCCTCTGTGTTCCTGTGCTGCTACAGTTGACCTCCAACCAAGGCACCTAAGGTTCATTGTTCTGGTCCCAGTCCCTTCCAACATCTTCATCAAGATGATAGAGAATTATGTGTGGGATCACATTTTTTTTTATATTTAAAATTAAATGTCTATCTATGATTAGCACACTTGGCTCGCAGTACTAACCACAGCCTGCTCATATATTTCTCTGTGGAGTTTCCCACAGAGTAAGCCAGAATAAACTTTACTCTGACTTCCTCTGACAGACCAAAGATGTGCTTGAGAATGGCTGATTCTCTCTCTCTATGTTGACCGTCTGATAATGTGGCGACCTTTCCAAGATGTACACCACTTTTTGTCCCTGTGTCACTTTGAATTAGAAAAGAGGTTAAACAATTAATCGGATGTTACTGTTTTGACAGTGTTGCACTCTCTGACTTTTGATGGGAGCACTGTATCACTATACACTGTGATCATGTCAGCAACAACAACTTCACCTGTAGAGTTCAAGACTTTGCAGATGATAAATGCTGTATTCTTTTTAATAAAAGTAACATAATCAGTACAGTAAATTGTACTACTTTCTTTGTGTCAGCTTTGCATATGTGCATATGTGGTTTCTGTCCATTCTGCTATACTTATTATTATGTACTGAAAGTGACCTGATGAATTACATCATCTAGAGAAAAGGAAATGCAGGCTGTAGCTTAGAACTGCTTTTATGTTCATCAAATGTTTAAGCAGACGATCAAAAAAGGAATCTAGTCAAGAAGAGCACAGTGGGAATTTAATGGTGCTCCTTTTGCACTGCACTACCCATAGTGTTAATGCAAGGCTATGAAAAATTTGAGAGAACTGGAGTGAATATGGCTACATACACACAAAGAGTACCTTGGGTGTGTATGTGGGTGTGTGTGCGTGTGTGTGTGTGTGTGTGTGTGTGTGTGTGTGTGTGTGTGTGTGTGTGTGTGTGTGCATGTCGTGTGAGTGTTCAGAGAGAGAGATGTAGATGCACATTTGTCAGGCAAACAAATGGCAATTTTTCCTCATTGTTGACTGATGTTTAATATTGTAACGAGGAAACAAATGTAATCACACTAGTCCACGTAGTAATTTAGATGATGCATGTATTTCATAGTGAATTACCAATGATGGGAACCACTGCAACCAGAAAGTAGTGCTATGATCACTGTGAATGATAATTACATAAATAAATGCAGAACATAATGTGACTGTTTTAACCTTTCTTGGCACAAGAAGCAAGCTGATGTGGACAACAAATGTCAGCAGTGGAACGGTGCTGCTGTGGTTTGTGTAGCTGTTTATAGTTCTATGAGCTCATTATAAAGGGGAAGGAAGCACAAAGACACTTTACAAGGAAACAGCTTCACCGTTAGAACACGTTGACTTTAGCACTGCAGCAGGGTTGGGTGTGACAATGAGGCACTCTTTGTTCTGCATGCTTGATTTATTATGTGAGTACATTCATAACTGTGTCTTATGAGTATCACAAATTATTGAACATGTTTCTGTATTATTGTAGGGTCTTTATCTTACAATGTAAAGTGCCTCGATGTGGCTGTTGTTGTGATTTGAAGCTAAATAAATAAAACTGAACTGAACTGAATTATGAGAATTACAGTAAATTTCCAGACAATAAAATTTGTCTTGAATGTAGCACATTTAAAGTTTATTTCAATATAATTATATTGAGTGATTCCTTAACTTCATCAAAAACAGGTTTAACAAAATCTGATCAGGTTTCAATCTTCATTTCAGTGCTCAGTACGGTCTTCTATGGAAATGCTACAGGTGAGATTTTTTCTTTCTTTCTTGTTTTCCTCAAATGTAATTCAGTCTTTATTTATTTATTTTCGTATTTATTGCCATTACCTCTTGAATGAAATTAATCTCTTGAATTTGCCAAATGTCCTAATAATGAGATACTGCACATATAAAGTACTTTGAATATTAAGAAGAGGAATCAAGACTTTTTTAAATCAAGAAGAAGAGGAAGCGACTGAAGGCAAAGGGAAGAATTAAAAAAGTCTGATGAAAAAGGTGAAAGTTGAAGGAGGAAGAATGCTGCACAGGGAGGAGTTGAGATAGATATGGGTGGTAGGCAAGAATTACCAGACGACTGGGAAAGTACAATTGTAGAGGTGAGGGAAACCATGAGGAACATATTCGATGTATTCTCTTGACAGAAGAAAAAGGACAAGGAGACTTAGCAGTGGAATCATGAAGTATAGGAAAGTCAAGTCAAGTCAGCTTTATTTGTATAGCACATTTAAAGGACATCAAGTATCGGCCAAAGTGCTGAACAGGGATGATAAAAGAAAGAATTAAAATAAATGTGCATTACAAAACATCCAAATATATACACACACCCAAGCAGACTCTTATATACATTTGTTTGTACAAGTATATATGTACCAGTACATATGCACATACATATACATGCATATATGCACACACACACACGGGTACGCACGTGGACATAAATACATGTATACATATACATGTGCATAAATGATCCAATGAGATAAAACACCAGAATAGCTAAAATGGAACAAAAGCGGCATCAGATCCGAAAGTCTTTGAAAATAGGTCTTCAAATTTGATTTGAAGATTTCCAAAGAGGAAGACAATTTTATAAAAGAGGAAGACTGTTCCAGAGTCTCGGAGCAGCGATGGAGGAAGCCCTGTCACCTCTGGATTTTATCTAGGAGCGTGGAACCAGTAAAAACATCTGACTGGAGGAACGCAGAGTTCGAGTGGGTAGGTGCAGGCTAAAGAGATCTGAAATGTAAGCTGGAGCCAAGCCATGGAGGGCTTTAAAAACAAATAATAAAACCTTGAAATCAATTTGGTATTTAACTGGCAGCCAATGTAAAGATGTGAGTATTGGAGTAATACTGTCTCTCTTTCTGGTGTCCGTCAGGAGCCTTGCGGCTGTATTTTGAACAAGTTGCAGGCGGGACAGGCTTGATTGACAGACGCGTAAATAGAGAGAGTTACAGAAATCAAGATGTGATGAAATGAAGGCATGGATAACGGTTTCCAGATCTTTAGATGACAAGATAGTTTTGAGGATAGAAATGCTCCTGAGCTGAAAGAAACTGCCAACAACAACTCAATTTATTTGTTTGTACAGCTTGAAGCTAGATCCCTCAAGAGTTTTAACATGGGGATGTAGATTAGCTGATCGTGGGCCCAAGTCATTTCTTGTGAGACTAACAGAGGCTTGTTTGCCAAAAATTGTAATATCACTTTTGTCATGGTTTAGCTTGAGAAAGTTCAAAGACATCCAGCAATTTATGTCACTAAGACAATCTGAAACTTTCTGCAATGTGCTATCAATGCCTGGTTTTAGGGAGAGATAGGACTGTGTATCATCTGCATAACAAAGAAAATCAAAAATGAGAGACGAGGACAGGTGGAGGAAGTGAAGAAAGGTATGAAGAGGTGGACAAGATCTTTAAAATGCACAGAAGGATTTAGCTGTTATTCTGCACCTCCATTGCTGGAGTGGATATATAGAGCTGGGGAAAACAAGATGGTTGTTGCCTGTTGTTGCAGTAATTCCAGAATCAGACTCTTGTATGTGAAAATAATAGCAGTCCTATTGTGCTTGGTTAGCCTGTACCTGACAGGTACCAATAAATGAAGGGGAGTGCAACTCTGGCAATCGCTTAATTACAAACTCAGGTGTGGTAGAAGTTTGGTTCCATGTCACAAAACCTTTGGTTGACAAATGACCATGTGACTCAGGAAGGAAAGCAGTGCAACCATGGAAATATGGCACACTTAGTTCAGGATACAGTTGGGTATAGAAGTAATACTTTAAATAAATCCTCAATCACACTGGCATTAACCACAAGGTGGTTCAGATATCCTGGGAACCTCCTCAGTGAGGTGTTCCAGGCATGTCCTACCGAAGGTAGCCCCAGAACAATCCCAGGACATATTGAGAATAGATTGGATATCCATACCAGGGTGATTTGTGACATTCAGGTCTCTCTTGAAAAAAAGAAATCTCTAATCTCAATGATGCTTTTACCTGCATGAATAAAAAAACAATGAATAACTGGGGACTCTGCCAGATGCTCCCAGCACAAATGACCTATATGGCTGACTGATATCACATACAACTCTACTGCATTAGAATATAAGTTATTAAGGAAAACTTAAAAGCTTCAGTCCATAATAGCTCACAAACCAGATAATATTTTTATAAATTTCTATAACAAATGTATTGCCGAAGCAAGTCATATCTTTGTGTTTTACTTGTTTTATATTTTACTTTAAACAGCCAGTAAACCTCGGGCCTTAATAACAGCACATGAGGGAGTTATACCAGCAGGGGGCAGTGTGACACTGAGCTGCTCTGTGGAGGGCTCTGC